TTGGGGTAGTGATACACAATTCTAAACTTGCCGCTGGAAGTCATTCTTTGAAAACAGGGCCATGCAATGGCATGTTACTTCACCTAGCTACTCTGCTGCAGTGGAAATGTTTCGAAATCCCGGAAAAAATATCCTAGTTTGTTTTCATGGAGCGCATTTGATTCAAAGGACATCACACAATCTTAAGGAGGAAACAAAAAGCTGCCTAGGTTATTTAGCATGGTCCTGTGTTGGGAAATCCCATGTGGCCATCAGTAAGTGACCGGAAGAGAAATAGTTCCTTGGCAGAGTGAAGATACACAGCCGTGAGAAAGATCCTGATGAAGGCAATGGCATGTGCAGATCTCCCAAAAGAGTGAAGCATTCAGAAATAAATCCTCCAGGAGTGGAGAGGTGACCCGGCCAGTAAAGGGCTTGCTGTGCAAACACAAGTACCCAAGTTCAAGCCCCACAACCTTTGTTTAAGAAAAAAAAAAAAAAGCCAGACATGGTGGTGAGTATTTACAATCCGTAGGGAGGCACAGACAGGTAGACCCCCAGGGCTTGTTAGTTAGCCTGTCAGGGTTTCATGGCCTCTCAGAAGACAATGACAGACCCTGTGTCGGTAAAGAAGGAGGTTTGTGAGGTGGGAGTGGGATTGCTCAGTGGGTAAAGGCATTTGCGGCCACGTCTGTGACCTACTTTGGCATGTGCTGGCCCCTTTCCCCCAGTAAACAAGTAATTGTAAAAAGGCTTTTAGAGAGGTGGACAGTTCCTTAAGAATGGCACCCTAGGTTGTCCTCCAGCTTCCTTACACATATACATACAAGCATCCACACATGTGCACCTATATGCACATATGCACATATGTATACACACCCACTAAAAGAAACTTAGATGAGTAGTGTTTACTTTTACACTACCTAGCTAGTGTGTGTGTGTGTGTGTGTGTGTGTGTGTGTGTGTGTGCAATATGAGTGTGTTGGGGAGATATTCAAATGCCCGATAAGTGCCTTTAGACACAGAGGAAAGAGGACCAGTGGGTGGGTTGGTTCAGAAAGGAGCCGACACGAAGTTACCTCCAGGAATGAGAAAAGGGTACCATGGTGATGGGAGCCATGAACCACACTCCAGGTAGGAGGCATTACGAAAGTAACAGTTCATTATATCTGAGAAAACAGGAGTGGAGCCTCAAAAGGAGGAGCGGTGTTCTGTAAATCCTGGGAGGAGGTGCATTAAGAAAGATAGCATAGCCGGGCAGTGGTGGCGCACACCTTTAATCCCAGCACTCAGGAGGCAGAGGCAGGTGGATCTCTGTGAGTTCAAGGCCAGCCTGGTCTACAGAGTGAGATCCAGGAAAACCAAAAAAAAAAAAAAAAAAAAAAAAAAAAAAAAGAGAGCATAAAGTAAGAGGTAGGTAGCCATCATGGACAGGATGGTGGGGAGGCCCAGGGCACCAGAACCGCCTCTGAGTCTGCCATTCCCATCATTTCAGTGGATATCCGGGAAGATGGAAGGAAGTTTGGGGGTGCTTGGATGAATGCCAGCAGCATGGGGAAGTCTGAGGGTGCAGTGGTGCTCGGGGACTAGTAGTACTGGGGACCCCCAAAGAACCATGTGGATGCTTTCATCTCTGCTTGGCCAGTGGCCAAGCAAGCACGGGCCAGTTCATCGTGTGGATGGAAGCTCCCAGAAGGAAAGAAATAAAGAGAGAGAGAGAGAGAGAGGGGAACCATACCTCTTGTTAAAGATTCTACAAGGTCAAATGACAGAATTTTGAAATTATGGAGAATTAAAATGTTCCAGACCAGGGATGGAGAGATGGCCCAGCAAATAAGAGCACTGACTGATCTTCCAGAGGACCAGGGTTCAATTCCCAGCACCCACATGGCAGCTCACAACTGTCTGTAACTGTCCAGTTTCAGGAGATCTGACACCTTCACACCAATGCACATAAAATAAAGTTAAATAAATTATTTTTCAAAATGTTTTAGGCCAGAGCCAAATTATGTTGGGCAATTTTTAGTCTCTTTATGTGTTGTCCACTTCCCATGCCTGTGTCTGACCTAACACGGTGGTGACTAACCTTACAGTGTATTGTTAGCAGATCACTCACTTCCATCATCCCCAAAGCCAAGGACATCACCACACGGCACCTGAAATCTGCAATGAGGTTCTCCTGATTTACTGTGACCTGCCCACCCATGGCCCCCACAAATGCATTTGGCAAATACTTTGATTTATGATTTTGTTATATAACTAATAAAACTTACATAGCCATTTCCACGGTAGAAGATAGACTCCAGGGAAAGATGAATGCGTGTTCCCAGGCCATTTGTTCATGTCTCGCTCCAGAATGAGCCATTTCTTTTTCTTCGTTAGATGAGAATTGTGCTTTTTACACCAACAAAGGTCAGGGGACAACTCCCTGTCAGGATCCGCTTGTCTCCCAGCCTCGGTGCTGGGTTGCTGAGGAGGATCTGCACTGGCCTCTCAAGTTTAGCCATCTTAAAAGTGTTGGCTCCTAGGGTGGCTGCTGGCCAGTGTGTGTGTGTCTTTATGCCACTAATACATTCAGCTAACACCCAGAGAGCAGCAGAGAGGGTGCGGCTCTCCCCACTCCTGCAGTAGAAATCTGGGGAAAGCGGGCCGAAGGGGCAGACGGGAGAGGTCCCCGTTGTGCGGAGCAGGAACAAGGGCGAGAGGGCACCCGCTGGCTGCAAGCCCCAGCTTCTACAGACTCCACATGAGCAACCCCTGAAGCAAGCAGTAAGGCTCTTGTACTCCAAGGCAAAGAATTGGACATGTGGTTAGGAGGAGAGGAGAGTGTGGGAGCTCACAAAGGTTTCCTAGTGAGATCTGAGCTTGCTTTACACAGCATGGCTGCATTAGGGGATGGCTTGGCCACATGCATGGTCACCAGGTGTCTGGGGTGGTCTGCACTTGGCTGTGCCACCCCTTGGCATTCCTATAAAAGTGGTAGAGACAGAAGGGGCTGGTGGGTTTTGACCCAGGCCCTCCCGAGGCTATCTTACGTTTCTAACTGTCTCTCTCCTCTGCACTTTTATCTAGTATTCCTCATTTCTCCCCGCTCCAGAGTACCCTGGGGGAAAAAGAGGGAGCTGGTCTCCCTCAGGAGAGTCAATTAAGAAAGAGGAAGCACTCGCGCGAGTGGCAAAGCCCTAAGGTGCTCAAGGTCCTTCACAGGTCATTGCACAGCTGCCCCTCTGTCTCTGGGCTTTCTTAGGCATGCTCTGTCACTTGTAGCCCACGTGTGGAAGGTTGTTCAGTGGCTTTTTTGTGTTAATCTTTAGGCTGCTGCCTGTAGTCTTTAATTTCTGAAAGTTCTTTCCTGTGGGGGCCAAGGGCAACACTGAGGCAGATTGTCTTTTTGAATAAGAAGTTTATTAGCAGAGTTATTAATGCCAAGAGAAGGCAGACAGACAGCTGACAGTATGGGAGGGGCTGTGAGGAGAGTTGAGGCCTGAACCCTATGGATGGGCAGGCAGACAGCGTGGAAGGGGTTCTAAGGATGATTCAGACCCATGAATCAGAGTGGGCTCATTTCTCATGAATCTCAGAGGAAGGTAGAAGATTGAGCAGTTAGTTTGTCTCTGACTCCCCACCCAGTGGGAAGGGAGGTGGGAAGACGGGAATTCCAGTGTAGGAGGAGGTATCTCCATCACCCCCCTTCTCCCCCCCCCATGTCTTAGGGAGTCTGGCAACCTGAGATCTGTGAACTTCCTGTGATTCTCCCGGGGTCCAGGCACCTGGGATTAGAAACTCACTGATGGTTGGTACGGGGGCTGTGGCTGTGGCCTGGAAGCAGTTTAGTCTAGACTCTAACACTTCCCTTCAGCACCATCAATGAGGGCCCGGTGAGTCTAGATCTTTGTTATCCTGACCATGAGCGATGTCCCAGGGAGAAGTCAGCTCCTTATATCAAAGCAAACGGGCCGGGGGCGACAGCTGCTTAAAAGGAGCTCCCGGAAGTTGGGAGACAAGTTCCTGAGCAGAGAGCCGGGCGAGTTCCTCCTCAGGACCCAGCATGGAATCTCCATGGCTAAAGGGAATAGGGGTATTCATATCCCAGTGTCCAACAGTCACTAACTGACTGGGAGGATTATTTCCTGGGTGCCTCAGTCTGCAGAACGGGCTACACCAACCAGGGAGGGTTCCCTGCTGCGGTGGTCACTCCTGCCACATATCATCCATAAAATCTGAAAATCACCACGGAGATGACTTTCTGGAAGGGAGCTTCTAGATTCGGTTAATTGGGGTGGGAGACACATCCTACCCACAGATGGCACCATTTCATGGTCTGTAGTCCCAGACTCTCTGCTCTCTGAATACAGCTGCAATGTGAGCTGTCTTAAACTCCTGCGCCACGCCTTCGCTTCCACGATGGATCTGCACCTGCAAACCGGGAGCCCAAGTACACCCCTCCCTCCTCAAGTTGGTTTTGACAGGTGTTTTGTCAGAGCAGGAAAAGTAAGACACCAGCCGAAGAGCTCAGAGGAGGTGGGGGAGGAACTGAGCAGAAGCACAAGAAGTGTGCAGTGTGGGACCGAGGCACAGGGGACACTGCTGTGACATCACCCTGAAAAGGCAGCTGTGACGTCACCCTGAAAAGGCAGCTGTGACATCAAAGCGAGAAGGCAGCTGTGACGTCACCCTGAAAAGGCAGCTGTGACATCACAGTGAAAAGGCAGCTGGGACATCACACCGAAAAGGCAGCTGGGACATCACAATGAAAAGGCAACAGTGACGTCACACCGAAAAGGCAGCTGTGACATCACCATGAAAATGCTGGTTTTTTTTTCGAGGGCAGAGTTTTGATTAAAGTGAAACACACAGGTCCTGAATGTATCCTGTATTTGGTCACAATATTAACTTGCCAAGGTTGGGGACAACCACGAAACCTGAGCCACAGGAAACCTGAAGTACTCTGCGCCCCCCCCCCCCCGCCCCCCGCCCTGCCCACTGAAGCAGAAGCCCAAACCCATAGAGGATGAGGAATCTGACCGAGAAGAATAGGCGCTTTTATTACCATCCCAAGGTCACCAGACAAGAAGAAGGGGCATGGACATGAGTCAAGTTCTTCCACCTGGTATTGGGGTTTGGGATGCAGAGGCTGAGATGAACTGGCTTTCACTTGGTGGTGCATGATGAGGTTAAAGCTTTCTTACAGATCCAGAAATTTAGGGTGTCACATTTGATATCGTTCCAGCCATCACTAGAGAACTCTGCACAGTCTTCGTCCCCGACATTGTTGGGCTCCCCTTTATTCCAATACTTCACAAAGCTGCAAAGCCAGTGTGACAGTTAGTTTCCGTTGTCAAGCTGACACAGTCTACAATAAGTGGTGGACAGAGTCTCAGTGAGACATTGTCTAGATTAGGCTAGCTTGAGGAAATGTCTACGAGGGATTTTAAAAGTTGGATTAATTGAGACGGGAAAACACCCAAAAGTGGTGTCATCGTTTCATGGGCTGGTGCCTGAAATGAGTCCTCTCTCTCTGCTCCTGACTGTGGTTGTGACTAACTGCTTCAAGTTCCTGCTTTGACTTCCCTGTAAGAAAGGACTGTGTGCTGGTTAGTTTAATGTCAACTAGACACAGCCTAGAGTCATTGAAGAAGAGGGAGCCTAAATTGAGAAAATGCCTCAATAATATGGGCTGTGGGCAAGCCTGTGGGACAGTTTCTTAATCTGTGATTGATGGGGGAAGGCCCAACCCATGTGGGTAGAAACACCCCTGGGCTGGTGATCCTGGATTCTATAGGAAAGCAGGCTAAATAAGGCATGGGGGGCAAGCCAGTAAGCAGCACCCGTCATGGTCTCTGCAGCTCCTGCCTCCAGGTTCCCACCCTGTTGGAGTTCCTGTTCTGACTTCCTTCACTGATGGACTACAGATATGGAAGTGTAAGTCATAAACCCTTTCCTCCCCAACTTGCTTTTGGTCATGGTGTTTCATTATAGCAATAGAAACAGTGACTAACACAGACTTTAACCCAAACTTGTGAGCAAAATAAACCTGTTCTTCCTTAAAGGTGCTTCTGCTAGGATATTTTACCACAGCAACAAACCAAAAAATGAGAGAGAGAGAGAGAGAGAGAGAGAGAGAGACAGAGACAGAGAGAGAGAGAGACAGAGACAGAGAGACAGAGAGAGACACACACACAAAGAGAGAGAGAGAGAAAGAGAGAGAGACAGACAGACAGACAGAGAGGAGGGAGGAAAGAATGAAGGAATAATAAATACTAGGACACCAGTCCACAGAACATCAGTCTGTCCCAGTGGCATGCCACAATCCACAGCTTTAGCTTCCAGATACTCAATGCCTTCACATCCTTCCTCGATGCACATGGCCTCCCTTCCTCTTCCTTTCCTTTCATCTTTTCTTTCTTTTTTTGAGACAAGGCTGATCTCGGACTCATGATGTGGGCAAGAATGAACTCAAATTTCTGATTTTCCTGTCTCTATCTCCCAAGTGCTGGGATCACAGGCATGTAACAGCACCACAGTTGGTGCATGGTGCTGGGTACTGAACCAGGGCTTTACGCATGTCAGGCAGCCACGCAGTCAGCAGCTAGCCTGATCTTTGCTTTGGTAATAGTCCCCTTCACCCGTGGCCTTGCTTTATTTTGTATTTTCTATTAATACCCTACATTAAAATCTACACCCCTCAGGGGGAAGCTTCTCTTCCTGCTTTTCTGGGGGGATTTGCTGCTATTCTGTCTGTTCATGGGTAGGGAGATCTCCTTCCATCAGCAAATGAGGGCAGCTCTTATTCCTAAGGGGCTGGGGAGAGGGGTGAATCCCAAAGACAGCTCAGGCCTGAGTGTCAGAGACACCCCTACCGCTGTACAGAGTGTAGCTTTCGTTCTAGACCTACCCGGGTGACAGAGGTGAGCCATCCACCCAGTGCCACGTGGCTTCATTATGCACATCTGACAGCCCCATCCAGGTTGGTCCTTTAGCCTTAGAAGTCTGCTGCAGGAAGGTCTGGAGGGGAAGAGGAGGAGTCTGAAGAGGAGAGATTTTACCTCCCTGAACTCCTGCAGAAAGTTCTACTTGCAATCTGACCTTCCACCTTCTGTTCTATATATAGTGCCATGTGCAGGTCTCCCATGGGCTTGAACAAAGCATGGCACATCAAGTTGAGGCAGGAACCTGTTCCCCATGTGGGATTACCTTGGTCCAGCCATGATACAGGGGGAGGAGCTCGGCCCTGCCTCAACTTGATGTGCATATATGTATCTTACAGGCAGACAGACTATGGCACACAGACATACATGGCTGGCTTTTCTCCCAACATGCTTAGCAATGCGGCAAGGTTGTCTTGGGAGTTCTGAGCATGTCTGTAGTAGCTTTAATGCGGTGGAAGCATTTGTACCAGTGCATGGTTGCTAAAGATGCATATCAGCTCCGTCCAACTCTGCACTGGGTGGTGTCCCACTGATGAGGATAAACACCAAGGAAATGGGAATCACTAGGCATTAAGACTGCTCTTTTTTTTTTTTTGCATGTGTGTGGTGTCTGTATGTATATTTGTGTACATATTTCTGGCATATGTGAATGCAGATGTATGTGTAAATGGATATGGAGGTCAGAGGTCAGCATTTGGTGTCTTCTTCGGTTGCCCTTTATTAGTTTTTGAGATAAATTTCCCACTGGACCTGTAGTTTACCAAATCAAGTAGACTAGCTGCTCAGCTAGACTCATAGAAACGCTGTCTCTGCCTCCCCAGTACAGACATTGAAGGTGGGGTCTACTAGCTTTCGAAGAACCCATAAGGGCTACACAGGCTGCTAGGGGCCAAGAGTCAACAACAGCCTTACCCAGCAGTGAATGCCATTAGCTGCAGTAGGAGCTGGCCTGGCAGGACAGACCCGTGGGTGCCATGTCAGCATGAATGCTATGGGGGTGACCAACTGCTTTCTGCTTGGATTTAGGGGCCACTCCACAAGAGGAAACGTGCTTGGTACTCTAAACCTGGCCAAGAACCCATGGTTGGGAAGCTTATAGGTCCCAGGGGTAAATCTATTACTGTTATTTTGCTAACTGGGAATACTAGCAAACTACCCTCTAAATTCATGCCTCTATACCTATAGATTAGTGTAACTCTCAGCCCTTATCAGAGAAGTTTCTTTGTGTAGTGGATGGTGCCTACGACAGAATCTCACAACTGGTTAAATGCAGGGGAGTACGTGTCTGTGAAGGGCACAGCCCCAAATGGGACATCTGTATGGTACCTACCCTCAAAGCTCTGGGAGCATCATGGAAGAGGAGGCAGAAAGACTGCAAGAGCCAGAGGCTGGGGAGGCCTGGACACGGCAGGACTGCTGGACTCATGGACTCACAGCAGTTCTGGTTGCCTACGCAACAAGCTTGTTAACACTGCGGCACGGAGAGAGGAGGTGTTCATGAGGTGCTAGGACAGTTGACGGCTTTGGAGGGAAGAGGGGAAGCCAGTTTTCTCTGCTCTGCAGACCAAGCTTTAGCGGTTGGCCCTGTGTCCACGAGTATGTGGGCAACATAAACCTACTCAGTGGGATATACAAAAAGGGACGGGGCATGAAGTTGGGAGGGGATGGGAGATGGATTCAGGAAGAGTTAAAGGGAGAAGTGTGTGTGTGTGTGTATGTGTGTGTGTGTGAATAGGATCAAAATGCATTGTATGCATGCATGCATGAAAAATCAAATAATACAAATACTATATTTTGGCCGGGCAGTGGTGGCACATGCCTTTAATCCCAGCAGTCGGGAGGCAGAGCCAGGAGGATCTTTGTGAGTTCGAGGCCAACCTGGTCTACAGAGCGAGATCCAGAAAAGGCACAAAGCTACACAGAGAAACCGAATCTCGAAAAAAAAAATATTATATTTTTTTAAAATGTGGGCACAATACCTGGCTCTGTGGGTACATGTGTGCGGTGTGTATGTGTGTGTGTGTGTGTGTGTGTGTGTGTGTGTGTGTGTGTAGTGTGCATGCACATGTGTGTGCAGGTGTTCGCAATCGTGAGTACACATGCAGAGCCACAGGGAGACATTAGGCCTTCTGCAGTATTGCTTTCCACTTAGTTCTCTTGAATGAGGATTTCTTACTGGGCATGGAGCTAGGCTGGCAGTCAGAGTGCCCTAGGGATCCTCCTGTCTGCAGGCCTCATGCCCAACATTGGGCTTAGAGGCACATGTGACCAAGCTTGGTTTTTCCCTGTGGATGCTGAGGCTCCTAAGTCAGGTCTTCATGCCTAAGCAGCAAGCACTCTTACCCACTGAGATGTTGCCCCAAACCCCATGACCAGCTTTCAAAACGTGGTTCCAAACTCAAGTCTTCGTGTTCACAAGGCAAGCACCTTCCTGACAGACGTTTCCCTAGTTTCTGCTCTAGCAGGACATCTGTCCCTCGGTGAGGAAGGGGTTTAATTCTGCCCAGAGCACAGGGTGGCAATTACATTTTAGCATTCTGCAAAGCATTCAGCAATGTTCAAGTCTTGTGTGTGGTTCCTCGGAGAGTACATGGGACCCCTCATTCCTGCCCTTCTCTAGTCAAGCAGAAAAAGCAGCGTCTTGCTCATACTCTTGTCTCACTCTCAGGTGACCACAGCCACATGTGTTCCAGACAAGGGTGGTACCCCACCAGTGTACCTGCTCCTCATCAGTCTCTATGATGACCAGCTGGGCCCCCACTTCCTGGCAGGCAGTGATGGAGTTGTGCCAGTTCCGTTGGGACTTGGAGAAGAAGTAACAGCTTCTATGGAAGAACACCCAGTCCCTGGGGCAGGGCTGACACAAGCCATCTGTGGGGGGAAGCAGATCAGATGGACACACTTAGAAGCCTATGTTCCCGTTTCTCTTCAGCCTTTAAGGACCCTTCTTCACCATGGCACTCTGGGAAGCCCTTCCTCTCTGTGTTCTTTATCCTCTTCTTCACCCAGAAGACTCTAGAAGTCCTGAGTCCATCTTCTCCAGACACAGAGAAGTAGAGCCTAGAGTGCGGAATAGAATCCAGGACTAGCTTGACTGAGCACCTACTATGTGCGCAACCTCTGTGAACTTAGAGTACCCATGATGTGTATGGCCCTTGTTAACACTGAATGCCTTCTGTGTGCAAGACTCCTGTGAACACTGAGTGCCTACTGTGTGGATAGCCCCCGTGAACACTGTACACCTACTGTGTGCACAATCCCTTTGAATATTGAATGTCTGTTGTGTGAATGGATCCTGTGAACATTGTCTATTCTGCACACGATTCCTTTGAACGCTGAGTGCCTACTGTGCGCATGGCCCTGTAAATACCAAGTTCCTTTCTCAGTGTTATATTGTGATCTCAGTTCACAGAGATGGAAACTGAGGCTCAAAGCAGTCGGATGACTAAAGGAAATTGGTTCCTTTTTCCTGGAGACCCGAGGCCTTGGGTCCCTTGTTTCTGGTCACTCACCATGCACTTCCGTCTTCAGCTGTTTGAGCTCCTGGTAGATTCTGTCCTGATCCTGGGAGCTGGGGACCTTGGAGACTTAGCCAAGAAAGAAAGAAAGAAAATCCCTGCAGTTATTAAATCCTACTTTTTTTCATGGCCTGCCCTGGGTCCCTTGGGATACTGTGTCATTTTTTAAAAGATGGGTCTCACTATGTTGTCAGTGATTTCTCCTGGGGACACGTCCTCATCCTATCTCAGCTTCACAAACAGGTAAGATTTCAGGCACATGCTTCCATCTCTGTCTAGAACAATTTCTGCCCGATGTCTTTAAACATTTTTTATTATTTATTTTTGTTCTATATATATGAGTATTTTGCCTGCATGTGTGTGTGTATATATACACCAGATGCTTGTCTGGAGCCTGAGGTGGTCAGAAGAGGGTGTTGGATACCCTGAAACTAGAGTTATAGATGATTGTGAGCCACCATGTGTATGCTGGGAACCAAACCCCGGTCCTCTGGAGGAATAGACGTGTTCTTAACTGCTGAGCCAACTCTCCAGTCCTGGGTTAATAACATTTAAAGGCCTGGGAACTAGACGCCCAGAGACAGGTGAAGCAGTAGAAGCACGGGCCACAGCTCTTCTCCTGTCTCTCACACCAGAGGGGAGGGAGGTGTCTCTGAGAAGTTTCTAGAAGCCACTGAAGGTTGTGTTACCGCTTGCACTCCCCATATTTCCCATACAGGCCCTAGGGCTGGATCGGAGAGCTGAGGCCTCCACTGTGTCTGACCTAGGATGAGAATGATCAGCAGGAGCCCAGCCAGGAACAGGAAGGAGAGCAGCTGCAGGACCAAGGGGTTGCAACTGCACTTCAGATACTCTGCAGGAGAGAAGGTCAGGGTATGAGAATCATAGTGCCCCTGCCTCAGCCTGGCCCCAGGACAGACTTCCTGCCACCATTCTCCTCCTGCAGGGCACATGAGTCTGGATTCTCAGCCTCAAACTATGGCCCAGGATTCCACCCTCAGCATCCGTCTTCTCAGGACTGAGAAGTTTACGGTCCTGACTCCAATTTCCCAGGACCCACTTCTGGGAAGGGCCGTCTACTTTTCCTCAGCCCCTCACCATTGTTGTACCTGCCAAACTTTTGATTCCAAAATTTGGTCGTAATCCAGAGCTGACAACAGAATGCCTGGTACCACTGATCAGGCAGTCTTCATCCTCTGGAGGAACAGAGCACCAGTCAGAGCCCTGGGCAAGCGCAACCGTGAGCTGCCTCTCAGGTCTCCTCCACCTCAGCGACTCTCACAGCCCAGCCCAGCCTCACCTGGAGAGCTCAGTTGCTGTACCCTTGGTTCCGCAGTGTAGCTCATGATCACTGCTCTTGCTTCGTGTCTGGAACTTCCAGGGACCACAGCTTTTATTTGTTGTCCCCGATGCCTACTCCCTAGACGTTCTGATAGGAAGAGAAAAGGGAACTGAGGGGGAGTGTGGAAGAGCTAGGAGGGGCTGTACCCCTGACACAGCACATCTGGTGCCAGATAATCTGAGAATTTTTAGGGAGAAGTTTGGGAAGTTTGGAGCGTGTAGTGGAATGATCTGGTTTATTCATGTTGTGACAAATTATGGGGTGCCTTTATCCAGGCTAATAGCCTGTAGATGACACCTACTTTGCTACACCCTTTCTGCTTGTGCTGAGAACCTTAACCCACATTCCCGGTAGTTCTGCCCACACGGACTTGTGTTTTCGTGCTTTGCTGGCATCCTGACTCACTGTGGTTTCTGCTGATTTTGATGTTCTCGTGGAATCACCATACTCTTTTGTTAATGCAGTGTTTGCTTCAGATGTACCCAATTAACCCTCTACGTTGTAACACATGATCCACTTTCATTTCTGCACGGCCAGATAATGTAACAGGCCCATAGTCACACAGCTATTTAACGGCGATCTGACATTTGAACATAGGTGATCTGACTCTACTGTCCTCATTGTAAACCGAGGAGAATAAAATAGTCCCAAGGGGGGGGGGCGTTCCTAATGGTCAACACAGATCGAGTGAAATAAGGCCACATATTTTTGTTGTTGCTCTCGCCAACTGGAACCATCTTCATGGGTAACAAAGAAACCCATGGAAACTGGGAGTTGGTTCCCTCCTTTCACTGTGTGGGATCTGGGGGTCAGATTCAGGCCAGCAGGATCAGAGGCAAGTGCCTTTATCCGTTGAGCCGTTTTGATGACCCATTTCACCTTATTTTTGAGACAGGTTGTCACTGGGCCTTGAACTCACTGGTTCGGTTAGATTGGCTATCCAGTGATCCCCAAGAATCCGCCTATTTCTGCCTCCCCAGTATTGGGATTACAGATGTAATCCCCGCCATGCCTGGATTTTTACACTGGGGTCCAAACTCGGTGCATCACGCCATGTGGCAAAACACCACTGACTAAAGCATCTTCCCAGCCCCGGATCTTTGCTATTAATTTGAAATAGAGATGACTTTAATGGGTAGGACAGAGACTGGCCTGGTGCTTGAGGTGTAAAAGGACTTCAATATTATGGGAATATTTGATAATTTTATTGGAGTGGTGTAGTGTATGCACATGTAAGTGTCCAGGTGGGCATGAAAGCCTCTGCATCGCACTGCCTGTGTGGTATAACCTCAGCACCAGAAAGCATGTACGTGAACCATGATCAGTGAGTTTATTTCTGGCCTTGTATTTGTTTTATGAACTTAAAATAAAAATGTATGTTAACTGTGGCAGCATTCCTGCTGGGCTTCACTGGGCCTGGCTCCAGGGAGTAGCACCTAGTCCGTATCCATCTTTTGTTTCTCTTGTTGCCCTCTGTGTGAATCTTGTCTGAGAGTCTCCCAAGTATACAAGCCTATGCAAGAACTTGGTTCAGGAAACCCGCAGAACTGTGGTACCTGATGAATCGAGAAATTTGCACTTGGCATTGTATTTTGGAGGCTTCATTCAGGTTGTTTTGAGCATATGGAAATCAACTGGTTAAACTGTAAGTATAGAGCAAAATAAAAATGTGCTGGGTGAAGGGAAAGTGCTTCAGTCCTTAGAGGTTGGATCCCCCTGCAGCCAGGAAAGGCTAGATTCATTCTTAAGGTTTCTCTGGGTCTTCATTCAATGGTCCAGACACTCGTGAACCCACACATCCGTACCACCACAGTTAACTTTTGTTGGCTCAAAAACATAGCTCTCACCTCGAAGGAAATGGGAACTAGAATAAAATAAATTATCTATCTGGAGTCAACTACGAGTGACCAGGTCCCAGGAGCACACATTCAGGTTGCCCTAAATACCATGTTCCACTGTAGAAGAGGCCACATGAGATTTTACTAGTTGTAGAACAAAGAAAAGGAAGCCGGGCGGTGGTGGCGCACGCCTTTAATCCCAGCACTCGGGAGGCAGAGGCAGGCGGATCTCTGTGAGTTCGAGGCCAGCCTGGGCAACAGAGTTA